AAAGAACAGAGTTATAGAGCAAGGAAACGGTTGACAGAAGACTTGAAAAGTTGAAGGTTGTATGAGTCAGGAAAACATGAAGATGGGAGAGAGTTCCAAAGGATTGAAGTGCGGGGAAAAAAACTAGATGAACAAAAGTTTTTAGAGCATGCAGGGACAGATAAAGTAAACGAATGAGACTTAGCTGAATGACGAGTAAAACGAGAATGAATTTTAGTTGATGGAACTAGAGATGATAACTCCTTTGAGCAGTGACCATGATAGTATCTGTAGAAAAGAGAAAGAGATGCAACTTTACGACGATGGGAAAGAGGTTCAAGCTTAGCAGATAGTCCAGGTCCAACAACATTTACAATGCGTTTTTGGACCTTGTCAAGAAGAGAAAGTGAATCGTTAGAAGAACCAGCCTAAATATGACAACAGTATTCCATACAGGGACGAATAAGAGATTTTTAGAGGTAGAGAATGGAATCAGAAGTAAGGAAATGGCGAGCACGATAAAGAGAAGCAACTTTAGCAGAAGCTAATTTAGCAATCGATTGTATATATGTTTTCCATGAAAGGTCAGTAGTAAGCGATAATCCAAGAAGACGTAAAGAGGAGGACTCAGTAAGAGGATTGCCATTCATAAATATAGGAATGTTGACCATATTACGGTAGTTGTTTGCAGTAAGCAATTGGGTTTTTTTAGAGTTGAAAATTACTGAAGTGAGATCAGATTCAAGATCAGCTGCTTGTTCTAGGCGATCGAAAAGAGAAGACTTTTTGTCAAGACAGGAGTATAAAGTTGAGCAAAAAGTGCTACTTTAGATGAAAGGTTGTCAGGAAGATCGTTTATGTAGATAAGAAACAAAACAGGGCCCAGGATGGAACCTTGGGGAACCCCAGAAGTTACTGGAAACAAAGAAGAGTGTTGGCCTTCAAGGATGACTTTAATAAACCGGTTAGAAAAAAATGATTTGATAATCTCAAAAACTTTCCCAGAAACACCATATGAAGCAAGCTTATGGAGAAGACCAGCATGCCAAACTTTGTCGAAAGCTTTAGATATGTCGAGAGCAATAGCCCTAGCCTCACCGCCTCCATCTAATGCACAATAAAATCTTTCAGTTACAGCAGTTAGCAAGTCAGCCGTAGAGCGAGAGGATCGAAAACCGTATTGATTGTCTGACAGCAGTTTATTTGACTCAAGATGAGATGTGAGGAATTTGTTGATCAAAGACTCAAAGACCTTGCTAATAACAGAAAGAAGACTGATCGGACGATAATTGGAGGGGTCAGAATTTTCTCCAGAGTTTTTGAATATTGGAATCACAGATGCCATTTTCCAACAAGCAGGAATACAAGACTCAGTCAAACACTTGTTAAATAGTTTAGAGAGAGTTGAAGAAAGTTCTGGAGAACAATTCTGCAAGACTGTGACAGGAATGTTGTCTGGACCACAAGCTGTAGACGAGTTTAATTGAGATATGACTTTAGCAACAGAAGCCGGAGTGATTTGAATGTCTAACAATGGGTCAACCTGTTTGACTGGAATGGAAGGAAGAGAATGTCCATAAGATTCAAGAGTGAAATTAGAAGAAAAGTTCTTTGCAAACAGTTCTGCCTTATCCCTGGGAGAGGTAACAAGGCAACATATATATATATATATAGTCCCATGAATGAGAGATGGAATGTTAGATCTACCCTTGTTAACAATGCTGTTGAAGATTTTCCAAAAGTCTTTAGAGCCTAACTTCTGCGATAAGATGCGAGATTTAGTGAACTGAGAATAATGGAGTTTAGCATCAGAAAGCACCTTTTTACATCGATTTCTTGCAATAATAAATAGCCGTTTGTTCTCAAGAGAGTTGTTCTTTTGAATAAGATGAAAAAAATGATTACAATTAGATATAGCAGCCGCACAAGAAGGAGAAAACCATGGAGTAGAATGAGGCTTGACTTGAAACCGACGAGAAGGAATAAAAGCTTCCATTCCAGCCTGAATCCAGGAGGTTACGTAGGAGGCGCATTTGTCAGCTGAGAGAGAAAAAACATCAGCCCAAGGACCATCACGAAGAAAATCACGAAAGGAATCCCAGTCAGCTTTAGGGTAGTAGTAGGTGGTGCGATGATAAGGTGAGCCCAAAAAAGAAGTACGAGAAGAAAGATTTATAGAGATCATTGCATGGTCAAAACCACCTAAGGGGGAAAAGGGAGAAACTGAACATAAGCTAGGGTCAGAGACAAGACATAAGTCAAGGAGTGAAGGTAAATGATTAGGGTTGTCAGGAAAACGAGTCACAAAGTTAACTATCTGAGTAAGAGATTGAGAAACACAGAAGTTAAAGGCTTTAGTGCCAGCAGGATCAGTGGTGTTAGAGCCAAGCCATTCAGTGTGATGAGCATTAAAATCACCAACAACAACAATATTGGCAGAGGGGTAAAGAGAGAGGGCATGGTCAATTTGATCAGAGATAACATCTAAAAGAGTGCAATCATGGGAAGAAGGAGAACGATAAAGAACAAAGAGAAAGGTGATAGAGTGAAGAGGTGCTAGGCGAAAGCACATAAAAGAATGGTCAAAAGATTCGAACCTGATTTCACGACAAATAGGGGAATTAATGCGTATGTATACCCGTAAACCTAGCATGTGACTATTGGAGTCTTTACGAATCAAAGGATAGTACCCATCAACACTGACATCTGAAGAAGGAATTGCAGAACTTAAATTTGTTTCACTGAGTGCAAGCAAGTATGGTGAATTTTGCAGGAGGTAAGACTCAACTGATGGAAAGTTGCTTCGTAGACCGCGAATATTTGTAAAAGATATAATAAAATATTTAGGTGGTGGGGATGGTTTTTTAGGTTTTAAATTTTTGGTTACTTTGGTCATGATTTGGGTTTAATGAGAACTTGACTCATTCATAGATAGAGCACAGCCTCCTAATCAATGAGCTATGCAGTTGTCTCAGTCCTGTTAATTAACCCTAAGCCGTGACATAGGGCTCCTTATGTGGCCTTGACAATGCACACCAAAAGCATTAACAGGGACACCATCCATGCGCAACATGGCACTGTTAATACTCTGATATTTTGCAGCTGTTGATGGAATCAGCCTCTCTGAGAGCTACCACAGAGTTCGGAAAACTTTACTACCAGCCGGCCTCAGAACCATTAAACTGAGTTTTAGAGCTGTACCCTCATATGGAGATAACAGGAAGAGTTGCATAGCCATTATCAAGGAGGCATAAGCAAAATTCTATGAGTAGAGTCATGGAGATCCAGCATTCATCATCCTAGGCAGGAAACAATGTAACACAGGTTACATCTACGCCAGCCTAATAGATGAAGAAGGGGTTCGAGGCTGGTTAGCAGAATTTTTCTGCTTACCCCTAAAGTCTTTGCCTAGGAGGCCTTCTACAAGACAGTAGCAGGATGCAGTTAACATCTGCCCAAGATGAGTATTTTTATCGAGACACCATCTCTAGCCTTTACTCAACCAAGAGCCCCAAGGCAGGGGATGTTTAGCTGGATGCAGTTAACATCTGCCCAAGATGAGTGCTTCTATCGAGACACCATCTTTTTTTTCTTTTTTTTTTTTCTTTTTTTTTTTTTTAATTTTGCTTACATTAAAATGTCAAAGTACAATTATATATGCCATATATATCGTGTTACAATTAAATTCGTGTTACAACATTTATCAACTAAATTAAAATAAGAAAAAACACGGACATACATATATAAATATAAGCATATATACACATACAAATGCGTAGATGCGCACATACATAAACTGCTTACAATGAAACATAAGCTAGGATCTGAAAGAAGATCACAAGATCTTGTCATCAGAACCTTATAAAGCACAAACAAGCAAAATAAATACCAGTATAAGATACTAAAAAATAAAGTAAAAATTAAAATAAAGTACTGAATTCAAGTTGTATAACAATTTTCAAAATATTAGAAGTATCTGAGTATATTATCAAGTGAAATAATACATTTTTTTAGATTGAGCTTGAAAAGGTAAAAGGAAGTTGGTAAATCAAAATTCTGCAAAACTATATTATTCCATAGGTGGGGTCCACGATAAGCAATGCAAAATTGATTAAATTTTGTGTGACAAAATGGTTCTTTTAAAAAGTTTATGTTTCTCATGTCGTATTTGTTGTTAGGTTTGAGTTTGAAAGTATTATTAAAAACGGTAGGGGATTGATTATTTCTCCATAGATATACAAAACATAAAACTTTAAATACATTGAGTTCAAATAAATTTAACAATCTCATTTCAGTAAAAAGAGGTTTTGTGTGTGTAAAACGATCGGCATAGTTAATTATGCGGATCGCATGCTTTTGACGACGATAAAGAAGTTTTAACTTACTTTTTACAGTACTCCCCCAAGCAGTATCTTATATCATATATCTTTATGCATTTTAAACGATAACAGTATTAAACATATATCTTTATGCATTTTAAACGATAACAGTATTAAACATTTCAGAAATTATTAACTCTAAAGTTTATCAGTTTAAAGCACTTTCTTTAAGCGATGAGCATGAAAACGGCACGGTTACGAGCCCTGGAGAAAAGACAGCCTTGATATTAAAATTATTGTTTTAACGATCCTTAAAGACTTTTCTTAGGAGAAACTGCAGGTGTTTCAAACAAAAAATCTTTTATAATATAGAATGTCTGAAAATGAGTTTTATGTGTGTACAAAAACGAGGCAAAAGGTTTTAATTGAATTTTACCCACCGCAAGCTCAGCTAGAACCATGCTTAGCATTCATGTCCAAATTCTTAACTTAGTTGGAACATGTTTTGGTTAACCAGTGCCCACTTTTATAACTTTTACGCTTTTTATAATTCAGACAAATGCCTGTATCGCTTCCTGCTTTTCAAAAGTCCTGATTTGACCTAGAACTTGAAAAAGTAAAGATAAAATTTTCCAAAGGTTTACTTACTTTTAAATAACTTTCTGTTTATTTCTACTTTAAATTTAGTTCACAAAACATTAATTTAATACAAACAAAAAATTATCACCAATAACAAAATCTATAAGTTGTACGTTACATTAAAGTTTAAGATAAAAATTTAACAAAAATATTTACATTTGCATAAATAAAGTATAATGAAAACAAACACTAATTTATACATTTTAATAGTTAATTTAATAATAATATTCAATTATAATTAAATAAAAATCTAAATATAATTAAATTAAAAATCTTTTAAAAAGTTTAAGATCTAAGTTGCGATATTTAATGTAGCAGTATCAGATTTCGCCCCTCTACTTAGAATTTTCAAAGATCGTGTCTTGGTATACTTGTACGCTTTTATGTAGTTAAAACCGAGCATTCTGTAAAATAAAAAATCATTTTAATAAAGTTGAACTGAATACCTACCAAAAACATTTTTGACAGAATTTAAATAAAGCATTTAAAACTCATCGTTTCATGTATAAACTAAGTATTCTGTAAAAGAAAAATCTTTATGCAGTTTAAATGAAATATTTAATAAAACAAAACAACGCTTTTATATCTAACACTACAAATCTAAAACTTCCAGAGTTTTTATTTATAAAACAAATCTTTTGAAAATGTAAATAAGAAATTTACAAAACATGTCAAAAATCAAAAATAATAGGTTATTTATATATACATTCATAGATACATTGATACATACATATTTCTTGTGCACGAATGGATGAACTTTTGCCTATTAATGACAAACATGACCTTTATTCCAATGAAATATTGAAAAAGGTCATGCACAAACCGATTTGAAATGCTATATAGGCCATTTTAGCGTGATATATATTTGTTTCAACAATATTGATTAATAACAATAACAGATACTTTCATTTGTTACGTGTTTTATATATATATATGTTTAGACATTTTCTATTTCAGTTGCTGAGTAGAATATAACAAGTTGTTTAAAAAGGGCTCTGTTAACACCGAGAGGAACAAAGAACAAAGAACTTAATCTAGTTTCAAGCGCAATTAGGAAGAGATAATGTAGAAATTTATGAAATATCCTTGAGTGAAAGGAGTTGCAGGTCCCGGAAAAACAAGTCATTGGACGCTATAAATTTCTTGAATCCACCACTAAAGAACAGAAAGAGAGAATCAGTGTAATTGCTGTTGAGCTTAAAGCCCTATGGAGCAAAACATCGAACCTTCGACATGTATCTGATCAAGTCGTTTGTGAAAAATTATCAAAAATTTTGAAAGACTATGAGCGGAAAGAATCAAAACTTTAATGCATTGAATGAACTGTTTGAAATCACTAAGGTTAAAGGTGAATTGTTGTGCAAAGAGGATGAGAACCTGTTTAAATTGCAAATTAAGAGCAAAGGCTAGGTTAGTTATTCCACTGGCAAATCTAGTAGTCCCATCCAAGCAAATAAAGGTGAGCAAAGCGACATTACCAGCTTAGCGCCATCTGTTGGTCTGAAAGTAGAATGGAACCCAACTCATCCGAAAACAGCAGACACTTTTTGGGATGATGAGATGATGCACCATCAAAGAGCAAAAGAAAGCATAACCCAACATGAATTGCAAGATGTTTTGTTACAATCTCAAATCTGTTTTCCCACGAAGCAGCAAAGGTGTACCGCCAGCTTTCTCATGAGGACATTAAAAGCCCAATGCCAGCCAGCAATATACAAAGCTATATACATAAGAGCTGCTCAGCTGAAGAAACACTTAGTGAGCAGGCTTCAAATGGAGAAATAGAGCATACATTTTGATGGCTTCGAATATCTGGCAGTGGTCCTCAAGAATGAAGCAATTGAAATTAAGTTGACTGCGCTCAAATTGAAAGATGGGAAAGCTCAAACAATTGCAGAAGGACTTCACGATGCCAACACCAAGTTGGATCACACTCTTCGTGTTGTCATGGACAGTGAGATCAATGGATTGACTAAAATGAATTGAGTACTTCTTTATGAAGGACTTAATGACCATTTATGATAAATTGAAACCAGCAACGGTAAAAATGAGATTAAAGAAACAGGTGGCTGGAGATATATGAAGTTTCTTTACCATCTCACTTGTGTCTTCAGTCACCACACTAAGGTGAATAAGATACCCCAGACTGGTTCCAACTTTTGCTTAAATTTATTCATTTCACAGACATCCATCAGTTTCTAGTCAATTATTTTAACAAAAGATTTTTATACTATTGCCACCCTTTTATTCTATCAGGTTATTTATATCAGTTTGAAATTTATAAAGGAGGAAAAGACCCAGGTGAAGAGGCTACTACCAAACATTTGACTTATAACTTAGTTATTTGCATAGACTTGTTTTCAACATGAACTACCTTTATAAGTGCTTTTTTTAAACACATTTATTAGGAAAATTTTCAGAATTAAAATGTTGTATAAAAAATATATTATGGAAGTCTAACTTCAATAGGTTAGACCTTCAATAAATACTACAAAAAGAATCAAAATTAAGCAGAGACATCATTCAAAAAAAAACTAAAAAAAGGTATAAACCAACTATTTGAATTTAATATATACTTGCAATAAATTTAAAAAAGTGAAGAAAAAGTTGAACCTCAAGATTTTAATAAAAGTAATAAACAACATAAAAAGGTTGCATACCGTAGCATAAAATACTCAACAATAACCATCACCATCACAAGCCCAACTTTTAATGGAGCAATTCTGATTTTCTGCCAAAGAGCAAACAAAAGTACTGGCATTGAAGCCATTATAAGTACAACAAAAAATGTTTGTGCCCAAGCTCTAAATGAGATAAATATATATATATATATATATATATATATATATATATATATATATATATATATATATACATATATATATATATACATATATATATATATATATATATATATATATATATATATATATATATATATATATATATATATATATATATATATATATATATATATATATATATATATATATATATATATATATATATATATATATATATATATATATATATATATATATATATAAAAGAACTTTTGTAATAATGAAAATAAAACCTAACGACTAACAATATTATTAATTACCTAAATTGAAGTTTGTCAGGATTCCAGAATAATGAGTGATCACTTGCAACGTCATACTATAAGGATAACAATAACAAAATTACCAATAATAAATATGTTGTACTAAACATTTATTTTGTTGTATTCAAAATTTCTAAACAAACCTGTACTTTGCAAACGCTACAACATAAAGTTGATGAATCTGAATTTTCTGGACGCTAAAAATAAATTCATTTTTTTTTATTGTTTTAATTTTTACGGTCATTAAATTATTAAATAAAATCTGTCAATGAGTAGATGTATATATGACTTATTAGATGACTTATTGACAGGGATGTGGAGTCCTAAAAGAACTTCAGCTTTAAATCTAATGTAACATGCTTTATTTAAATCTAAAAAATTATGCAGCAATTATTTAAAAAATCACTGGCTGCAATTTACCTATTAAAAACTATCATCATCTGCAATTTACCTATTAAAAACTATCACCATCTGCAACATTTAGATGTAATAAGAAAAATAGCACAAAAACTAGTTAACGGAGCTGACTAACTTATCTGGAGTAAATTTAGCTAAAAAAAACTAATGGATTGGGTAATATACGATAGGAATAAAATACCATTTATCTGCTCTCCTAAAACCTCTGTTAGTTTAACAGAGAGAAGTGAATATGGCTGCTGGTTATTCTAAAGTTTTAAAAATTAGTGATATTTTAAAAAGAGCTTCTTATACAATATTTTATTAAAAGCAAAAAGTAGCAAATATTGTTTCATACATTCATAACAAATAGTTATTTGTATTTATTTTCTGTATTTATTACCTATTAAGTGGGAATTAATTCCACTAATGCCCTAATATTTTTTACTAAATCTATTTCTTATACCATAAACTTTGTTGCTATCATTGTTAATATTATAATATTAAATTTTAATGGTGTTTCACTCCTAGTATACACATTTTTTTTCTGTATGGCTGAGACAAAAACAATAAAAAGATTATATGCCATTGGTTAATAAAATTTTTTATTGTAAGATTTAATTGCCACAATAGTGGATTGCCCTTTCTTGTTGAAGAGCAAGAAATCAATGGGAAAAACCAAGTGAGTTTAGCGGCACATGCCTCAGTCCTTTAGAAAAAGGTTAGCCCCCTCCAATGCTCTCAATTAAAGTTCAGTGAAAACTTCAAGCCTATCAAAAGATGCCAAACGCAGCAGAACAAATTACAACTTTTATTTTTCCAACAAAAAATCATGCCGAGAAGGAATCATTGAATTTGCTAAAGCAACTGGCTATTTTTTTTAGCTTGGAATCAATGGTGGCAACTGTTTTCTTAAGTTTTGTCTAAGCATTGTCAATAGTGTTAAGGGATAAAACCAGCTCACTGTCAAAAAAATAATCTCTTACTCAAAGGACCGGCAAAGACAATAGATTCAGAGACAAATTTATATTGCAGTATCAAAAAATTTGCTAGAAACTTACTTCAATACTGAACAAATCTGGTCAATCATCAATGCAAATGGAGTTAAATTAATGTTGTCTTGTGATATGAAAGTTGCAAATATAATTTGTGGTCTTCAAACCCACTCAAGTACTCAATAAATCCAAGTGTATTGCCCAATCTGGAAACATGCAAATACTGGGTTTAATTAAATCTAGTTTGGAGTACTTTTTTCAATATGGGAGGGTTGTTGCTAAAGATCATTAGCAACAACCTAAAACATTACTAAATAGCTTTAACTTTCAATTAAAGCTGCTCATCAATGTCATTTGAAAGCCAAATCTCTAGGTTGGCATTATCAAGACCCAAAAATGAATGAATGTATACAAAGAGGGGGTGGGTTTTAAAGACAACAAGTAGGTATGACGATATCTTGCTCCCTCTCTCTCCTAAAATTTGATTTGATTTTGTTCTTTTTAACAAAAGCATTGAAGTTTACAAGTTTGAAAAATCAATAATACAAGGGAGAGGGAGAGGGCCTAAATCAGTAGTTTTATTGCGTACTACTTTATGGATAACCCATACTACACATCTTGCAAGTTAAATTTAAAAAATATATATTAAATTCTATAAAAATAAATCTAAATTTCATAATATGATAGTGTTGAACAATAATACAACATTTTGCTGCCAGTTGTATTAGTGTAAAATTTAAAATATTTTACGACAAAATTTCTTTAAAAAAAATAAAACTATTTAATTATTTAAATGATGCTCTGACATCAATTAAATAACTAAATAATAAAAAATCAATTCAATTATGCACAATTTTTTATATAAAGTAAGTAATACAACAACACTGAGGACATCATATTAAAATGATCATCTGAATACATACATCAACTGAGGGTTTAGGCAGACAGTAGGAACCTATATGCAAAAGGCGTTTACTAGAAAAAAATCTCTTTTTTCCACCTTATTTTTTTTGTTTTTTTGTCTGGATATAAGTTGGGATTTTTAAAATAATGCCCAGAATATTATTTAAATGGATGTTCATACTTCTTGAAGCCATTTTTTTAGACAGTCATGATGAACTGACTTCATTCCACCTTTGCAATTACATGGCTCAATGATGTCAACTTTGTTATCCTCATCATAACATATCCAACAAACATTCTTTTTCTCTTTACTTTCATCTAAATAAGAATAAATAATTTAATACTAAATTACATACTCTTAAGCTCATGTAGTTCTTGAGGCCTGAAAAATAAGTCAGAATTTTTTAAAAAGAAACCTTCTACTTGAGATATTTCTACTAAACTCTCATAAGATTTTCGAAAGGATGCAATTGGTTGGCTTTCCTAGAATCATAGATAAGAAATATTTTTTAATACATTGAAATTTTGAAAACTTTTCATGACTTTTTTTAAAACAAAAAATGCAATTATAAAAACAACTTACAAAGTTTTTACGGAGCAGTAGTAGTTTACGAGGGTTTAATATCCATAACTCGTCAGGTCTAAATATAAAAATAATATAAAAAAAAAAAAATTAAAACTTAGAAAGAAGAAAATTAAATTTGAATGAAAAAAAGAAAGATAAAAAACAATACCTGAAAACATTCCACAAACAGCATGGAAACCATAAAGCACAACCTAACTCTGCAATATGAAACGCAATGTTGACAATGTTGCGATCAGTAATTCTAGCTTTTCGTTTCCAAAGTTCGCCGAGAACTTCGCTTGTTAAAAACATTGTAACCGCTAACTAAACAAAAACTCACATTCAAACTAAAAAAAAAAAAATTCAAAACAATATGAAAAAAAATATAGAAAGACTGACTTGCAAAGATGCCTGAGCAATGAGTCCTAGTCTTGACTGAAAAAGTTGGTGTAAATTTATACTTTCTTTATAATTTCTTTCTGATTTAAATGCTCCCTGAACCTAAAACAAAAAATAATTATCCAACTTGTATTTAATATATTTTATGCTAAACATTTAATATATATTAATTAATATAAAAAATATATAATAAGTCTATTAATTATTATAAATTATATAATAGGTCTAGATTAAGCGCTTAAAAGCATAAATAAACATTTTAAATATTTAATTATCATTAACTTTTAGAACATAAAATCTCAGCAAGATAGTGTTTCATATTCAAAATGGTAACATTTCAATTGATTGAAATATTTAAAAAAGCAAGGAAAACTTTAATGACTTAGGTAAGAAGTGTACTAAATATATGTATAGTATAATATATCTATGACAACATTTTTCAAACTTTTTGACTAATTCAAGTAAAATTTAATAATCCAGTTATTATATATATATGTTGAATATGAAACATTTTTAAATTTATTTATAAAAGACTTGAATAAGATTTATTGAGAGTAAAAACGAAAGATTTACTTTTTTGCTATAGTGTTCTCACCACTATACCACTAAAGGTGTAATGTTAAAATTAGTTAATTTATAGATACAACATATGTAGTATCTACATTTGTTAAAAAAAAATTTAGATACAACATATGTAGTATTTATATTTGTTAAAAAAAAATTTATAACAAAATTTTACAAACAAGCACTGTGTTTATGTACATGAATCTGTCTCTTAATTCAGCTGTTGCCCTGTTTAATCTTTCAATTCTTTTGAAACTATCTTGTTTGAATTCATTCAAAGTATTTTATAAAAATTATTTTTTTATCAGAACTATAAATTAGCTTTAATTAGATTTCATAGAAAATCATTTTTATTTGATACATTATTTTTATATTGTTACTAATACTATTATTATTATTATTACTAGCTGTCATGACCCGTAAAATACGGGTCTTTAGGATATTGATGCACACTTTATCCGCGTGCTTACAGTTCATAAGAACTATTATCCGGTTTATAACGCAAGAAAATCTCAATCAAATGAAAACATCTAAATGATAACTTTTAATGTCCTAGATACGAAGATTAAACTTACTGATTGCGTAAACACTAACTTTAACATAAATGGCATTTGCGAGACACTTCTTGCAACGAAAAA